CCGTAGGATTGCGCAGCTACCGTGTCAACTATAAAGTGCTTTTTGAAGAATTTGTTAGAACATTTAGTATCAATATTGGTTTGAGCTCTTAAAAAAGACCTCTTAACTATTATGTCATTCTCATCTTAGTCGCATTCTTCTAAATTTGTATGTTATAAAGGATGAATGCAATTCATTGTTTTAGAAGGCTTTCCAAATCTGTTTGTTATCGTAGAAATAGTCTTCTAGGAAAACCAGCTTGCTAATCTAAGAGCTTTTTTCTCCGTTTCTTTGAAATATTTTCTTTCAGCTAATTTTTCCATACTTGGACCTCGATGTGAAATACTTCGATCTTGGTTTGCCTCACAGAGATGAAACGGATGATAAGGTACAACTCCACCCGCTTTGCTTGCAAATCTGTAGATCTTACCTTGTCAGGTCACTATTGATGCCGCCGAGGCGATCTTGAAGTACAGTGTGGGAATTAAGTGCGCTACAATAACGCCAGACGAGGCAAGGTTGGTAGCAATATTTTTAAATTGCAGGCGTGTAATATGTTTATTACAGAGTAAAAGAATTTAACTTGAAAAAAATGTGGCTCTCACCGAATGGAACAATTCGAAACATTCTCGGTGGTAAGCCCTCAGTTGCTTTCTCTGATTATAACATATTTTGCCTACTCATTCTGCTTTATAAATCAATCACAATTCTTTAAATGGAAAGCTCCTAATCAAATCAAGTGTTAAATATTCATACAGTAATATTCGTTGAGGAACCGTGTTTCGGGAACCGATTATTTGCAAAAACATTCCTCGACTTGTGCCAGGTTGGGTGAAACCCATCGTTATTGGTAGGCATGCATTTGGAGACCAGGTATGTATTTTTGGTTTCCTAATAGAATTTTCAAATCTGTAAAGCTATTGCATTATAGGGCTTGTAAGAAGCTTTAGAGTTTCCTTATCCTGCTTATTTTCTCCATACTTCGCTTCTCTTTGCGGTTGCATGATTGTTAGAAGTTCTGTCCAGGTTCAAAGCAAAAG